AGTCAAGAAATCGCACACGCGCACACAATTCGCCTCCCTACTTCGTCCAAATAAGTGACGACAGCATGAATGGATGACAAGGAATCAACTGAATCATGAGTGGAAGCAACCGTGGTCGCTGCTTATTGACACCAGAGAACTCAAAATAGTTTGAGCAACTGGCATTGGGCCTTGTCTCCACGGGTAATTGAATGCTTCAGCCTCCATCGAGCAATTTATCATCAGTGAAGATCTTCGTTACCACCACGAATTAAAGCGATCAGCAATACGGCCGCACATTCCAGAGTGTCTGCATATGCATGGGATTGCTCAATCTAACCCTCTTGTGGTTGAATTGTCTAAGCCACAGCCCACGTTTACTTCATTTACAACCCTCTTCATTCTCTCTGCTGACTTACCCTCTTCTATTGTGTGCGTATGTCTATGGTGCCACTAATGCCACACCGATACGATAATTGACCCTATTTACCTAACTCCCAAGTAAGTAGTAACTTACCTAGGATTCGAAAGTCTTGGTAATTCACCACGTTTACACTTCCAGAACCTTCACTATAAGCAAGAGATTTGGGAACAAAACCGATGCATGCAACTGTTACCAGACATCAATGACTTCCGAATTCGCATATTTCGACGAAGCTATCAGACAAAAGTTGTTAATCCATTTCATATAAAGAAATGATTAGTGCCCAATTATGGAGAATTTGAGCAAATTCCGTCTATAATCGCCTGTCCACAAGTTCTAAATATTGAAGCGAATTTGACCTTCTTATCGCCTTCTTACTTCATAGAAGTAGAACAGTCTAATAATTTTTCGCACAGTTGCTTTGCCTGTATGAAACTTTCCAGACCATGAATAATGTTGATCCGAGGACTAGTTGTATATCATCCTCTTCAAACTCTTAGCATTCAGTAAAAAGCTTGGCAACTTCGAAGGAAACAAAACCCGACGTTTTTGAGACAATATCGATTTCAATTAACCGGCCAACAAACTCTCCAGACGACACTAAATATCCAAATAAAGAATAATGCAAAAAACAATGTATTTATTTCAAATATTTCAGGACAACTTCGTAATTAGAATATCAAAGTAGTTGAAAGCCGCGTTTTCGCCAACTATTCCAACAACGAGTTTGATAACTTCCACTTCCATTACCTGAGACTTCTCCGTTTCTGCCTCATGCTTCAAGAAGAACAGGTGGAGTGAGAGTATCAAGATGGAGAACAATTTGTCCATCAGAGGCCTTCAAATGGTGGAGTAGATTGAATGGAGTCGTTGTATTATTGAGGGTTTCAAATTGAGTGGCGCATCACAAGATGCTTAACGAACATGCTTTCGGAGGTTTCCACAACTCCATACTGGAACGTGAAAGTGGCCAGTTAGAATTTCAATCTTCGAAAACAGAGCCTGAAAAAACATAGTATCACCTTAGATAATCCGTTGATAAGCATAAATAACAGGGAATTGAGACCAATTTCACACACACCCTCCAATATGAGCTACGTAATTATTAAGAGATTCTGTCGAACTTTTTCCAACAACTCCAAGTCAAAAACTCAAATAGCACAAATTTATGCATTAATGGAATAGAAGTAGTATTGATCCAGTATAAAGTGATGTGCTCAACATGTGCTCGCCTCCATGCAAATACAGAGAGAGGCAGAGTGAAATTTAAAAATTTTGGACCTGAGAGATCAATGTAATTAAACGATTGCATTCAAAGCATTATTCCCCAATCGCTAAATCCAGAGTCTCTTTCTTACGTTCCACGAGGACATCGATGTTCAACACGGGGTTTAATTTCTCGATTGTTTGGTAAACTATTTCGAACGCAGATGGACTGTCTTTTAAGATTTGCATTGACTTCGTTTCCACAAAATCAACGCACCTGGAGACAAGGTTGATACCGTATGGCCTACTTATTATATATCAGTAGTAGTAGTAGTCAATCCATTTATTGACAAAGTAGGCAACGTTTGAACTATTAGAACACTCATCCTCACTGTAGTCTCTAACCGAATTAGTGATCATCTAAAAAGCATAAGCTACACTCGCGGTGGCTAGTTCTTACTCTTGAAACAATGGCAGAGGGGAGGTAAAGACGATCTAATGCCTCATCTGATCGTTTCAAGTAATGTCGCAATTCAGCATGAAGAACTCCGCTTGCATTTAACGAATTCCACATCACGGAAAACATCCGAACTCGTCAAGTTTAGAAGATAAAACCGTGCAGCCCCCCCCCCCCCCATCATCGTATTGAAATCTACCTATTGTTCAATACCTACCACACTGACCTTGATTTGTCAACTTGTTAGCTATTCCGTTAATCTTTCCCACTTGTCTATTCTTCGTCATCGCCTACGTCGATTCATATTACGATTCGGTTAAGAGGAACAAATTAAAGCTTCCTCAAAAGTCGTCTTTTAAAGCCACCATATAGGATCAGCATCCATCTATTGATGCTATTGATGACTATTCAACAGCCCTCAGAGATACATGGAAATAAAAAATGCATTGAAAACATTTCCTTGCACTTGCTACGTCCGGAGTCATTTCATTACTTTGCGAATCAGTTACAATTCGTATGCCGACTGATGAAAGCCCACAAGTTAGAGTTGTTGGAACTCATAAGTGACACCCATCTTTTATTCCGAACAGCTAGAGCTGATATATTAAAGTTGTAAATTACATCATAACTCACAATAAGTCATTCATTGCACCATATATGTTTGAACTACTTCTTCCATTTAGCCTCTCTTTCTGATAAAGCATTGCAAAGTAAGAATACAAATAGTAACATTACGATCAAATTCAATCGATTAAAAAGAACCATTCAAAATAAAAAAAATGCAAATTTAAAACAAATGGAAGGTTAGAAAACCTAAAAAATATAAATATGAAGTCTGCTTAAGGTACTTACAATTAATCCTTCAAAGCACTCAACAGCAGGAATTAACGATAAAGTGGCAAACTGAGCCAGCGTTCAACTTCAAACGATTTCTAAATGTTAATTCCGCGTCAGAAGATCCGTGACATCGTTTAGCGCAGGATATACGATAATTCGGACGCTGCTGAATTGAAAACAGATTAATTATTCTCTAGAAGACAATGATGAGTGGTTTCAGAGCGTAGCCAAGCAACAGTATTTTATGAAGATCTTGATTTTAAGCTTCTGCAAGCTCTCCAACTGATTAGAGATATAAAAAACTTAGAGTAATTATAACCGCAAGAAGTAAAAGCAATATCACATTGTAATATTCCTCAACATACAAAAAAGTAAAAGAAATTTAGCCATTTGAGGTCTGTGAAAGTATTACACCTCAAACTTGACCAAATAAGCAAAAGGGTGAGTGCAAAATGTTGGTATCACAAAACATTTTTGCACAAAGCCAATGATTGGATGAACAATTAATAAGAATACCCCACAAAATGGTAATTAATTTAAAGTATTACAATTTCTATTTTAATAAGTACGAGATAAAAGACAAAATGAAATTATTTGATTAAACTTAAAGCATAATTTCGCTTTGTTCTCTAACTTATTTTTTGCATAGAATGCAAGTCAATGTTTTTCATAACACTTATAAATCGATGTTAATTTCCGCAATATTCGTATTATGGATACTTTATATGAAAAATGCTATAATTTATCTATAGATTTATATTAGTTTGCTACTAAGTATGTTTGTGTGTGATATGAAATCTCCTCCTTCACTATTATGTGACCAACTGTCATCAGTTTATACATTGGCAATATTTAAATCGAATAGGATGTTTCTGAAATGAACATAAATTGACAACAGTATTTACTTGAGTTTATTTTTAGACAGATACACATCAAAGATGCCCTTGATGCAAGTAATACCATTACGGCTGTTTTCGTCGATTTCAAATCAGCCTGTGAGTAAGTATGGAAAGAGAAGCTTATTCTAAAATTGGCAAAGATTGGTATTAAGCATAACATGCTAAACTGGATAAAACCATTCATAGGGCAAAGATCGTGTAAAGTCAGATATGGAAATGCTCTATCAAAATCTAATCTTTTACAAACAGGCCTTCCAGTGTTAGCTGTCACAAGCTGCACTCTTTTCAAAGTCTTCATCAATGACATAGCCGAATTGGTACAGAGAGTCACGGGCATCATGGATATTAAAATGAAAATGAAAAATATGAAAAATTTGAAATTTGTTGAAAGAAAACTTGTCGGAAACACTGGTATTAACTGAATTTGTTAACTTCTACTAATTAAAGCAAGTTTCGCAGTGAAAATATCCTTTCATTGGGTTATCAATACGTAAACAAATACGCCTCTTGCAAAAAGTTTCAATTAAAATATAAGCACAAATTTCTCAACAACAATCTTATCCTTATCTCACCACAAACTTAAGGATTATGAGTAAAAATGCCTTGAGTAGCTGAATTTGGTAGTGTAATTCTTGAATTAGTTGTAGGCCACGATATTGCAACTTTTAAAACATCAGGTTTCACTGATTTGGTACTGCATATTCTGATTTCAGATTGACGTCCACAGTGGAAAATTTGAATTAACCTATGAAAAGTATTCTTGCTTTGGTCTATGCGACCACTTTACATCACACTACATTTTCCTAAAGTAAAAAGACTATGATTGCTTATATAACCTCAGTTTGATTACTTGGCCCAACCTTACCAAACCAAATGTTTCCACAATTGCGGACGTGGGCAAATTGGGTCCTCTTGAAATGAAAATTAGTGTCGGTCAACTATGAACATTGGAGATTCTGATAGAAGTATTCAAAATTCGTCTTCCTAGCAATATATTCTAATTAGCTTATCGTCCCTTGGCAAAACAGTGGTTTCCGGTACTGTGACGACAAATTCGTTTCCTCAAATACTACACTTTGGAACAGGTGTTGCCACAAGCACATCTTCTAGTTTATAATTCGATCTCCCAGATTGATTTAGTTAAATTACAATAAGAGCTTCATCCACAGTTAATTGCCTGCAAATATATTCAATTTCAAATCACAAAGAAAAGGTGTAGCCAAATTGATGGTGTAAATGTTCTATATAAGGAGACGAAATGTGAACAAAGAAATGGTGGCAAGAAAGTGCATGCAAACACCTGAATTCTAGATTAGGGTTGTAAATTACATGCTCAATGATTGCTTTGTATGTTCACGATTTGCAGTCAGGTTTTGAGGATTCACACCACAGGCTCCTACAATCGCCTAAAAGTGCAAATCATGGTTTACTGTCGAAGGCATTTCCTTCAATCGGGAGAGTGGGAATGATTTTGCAATTGTTCAGATTAAGTGGAAAGGAGAGCAATTGCGAAGAGGGATAGAGAATATTTTGGAAGATAAGAGTCGCACATCTGCAAACATAGTAGTTCTAATTGCATTGAGGACGATCTCTCAATTTCAGGATCACCTTTATCTAAGCAAAGTTCAGGAATGTCACATAGTAAAATGCTTTTTTCTGTGCAAGTTAATTTCCAGCCAGAGAAAAACATTCCCACTTTTTTGCTACTATCACCCTCCATTTCAACTGCCTATCAATCTCTTTGTTCAAAGAATACAGTTGACAGTAAACAATGACTTGCACAATTAGTCTATTGTGAAATTGTGTCCTCATTGACAAAGTTGTGGATTTGCTTTTCATATGCTGCATTTTGACAAACCCCATCGAGGTTCGTTTGACTGTGGAAGTCAAGCAAAGGGATATCTCAATTCGCTTGGCCCAAACAAGAAGGAATGAGGCAACGAGAGCTTATTTTTCCCATTGGGAATTGCCAAGTTACCTATTCAGTGACACAATCAATGCCACACTACAATGAACACTGTGTGATAATTGATTGTTGAGTTTCCACTCTCTCAACAACTTTGCTCACAATGCAACCTCTCTCACCACAAGAGCTACCTTAAGATTTCAATCTCATGAAATTCCTTTGATCCACCTTGCCTATCTTATGCACTCCACAGTAAACCTTGATCTCTCAACCTACTATTATAATGCCATAATAGCCACAGTCTTTGTGGGTTAACACTTGAATACTATATTTGGTGTTGGAAACAATATTCTTAATGAGAACTCTGTGTAGTCAGGTTTTGCAGATTCACACTCCAAGCTCCCTCATCAATCGGTTAAATGTGCAAATCATGCTTTGCTGTCGAAGACATTTTCTTCAATCAGGAGAAAGGTAAACAGTTGAAATGGAGAATGGGAAGATCAAGAATAGAAGAAGCGTTGATCACATACATTTTATCGTCAAATAATCTACCAAATGAGTCAACTCTAAGATTTCTTTCCTAGTAACATGAATTGTCTCCAGTTTGAATCGAAGACTATTCAAAATTTTACTGTGTTATTCCAGAACAGTATTGAGTCAATTACAAAAGTAGAATCACTTGGAGATTTTAGTCTTAGTGGAAAGAACAATGACCGATTGCACTAATCTTTTGCAAGGAGACTTCGAAATGGTCTGTCCAACTTCACGATTGTCATCATGTTTGATATAGCGTCTCAATAATTCTATTCTATATCAGTGTAATTTCATGTCTTCACGTATCTAGATAAATGCCAAAGTGGGGAGCGCGATAGACTTACCTCCACGTGATTAGCTTGAAACAAGGCTATAAGAGAAATCGCCTTCGTCAGGGCGAATCACACTTGTCAGGGTGAATCACAACGTCTTCAGATCCTCCAGTGGAAGGGGCGAATCACAACGTCTTCAGATCCTCCAGTGGAATGCTGATGAGATGTAACCGGACAAGAAGATCCAAGTCCAGAAAATCCTACATAACTATGATGTAGACATTTTCACAATTATGGAAGCAAACATTTCGGATGACAAACTGAAGTACTACCAGTTCCCAGGTTACATCCTGTACCTTCTACCTAAATACCGGGAAGTTGAAATTGGAATTCTAACTGGAGTTAACGAAGGCCTCATCTCACATTACAATCTAATCAAGAGTGTGGGCTCGACACAAGACATATGTGAAATAATTAGATTAAATGTTTGGAAATGTCAAAACCACTTCAAGGTATATGCAGTCTATATTCCACCCCAGAATT